ATTGATTTTTAATGTATCATCAAATTGTTGTTCGGTAATTGACTCTAGAGGTGCAAGCGGGCTGATACCTGCATTGCCAACGACAACATTCAGGCAACCTTTCTCTTTTTGAATGACGTTATACAGATTGTCAGGATCAGTCATATTTCACACATCACCCTGAAATGCTGTTACATTTGTACTACCGATCTTTCCTACGGCTTCATCAAGCATTTCTTGGGTGTGGGCGTGTGGGTGCGGGTGTGGGTATAGTCTTCCAATTATCCACTTCCACATCCACACTCACAGGTACACCAACATTCACATCCACCCGCTCCCACACCCCAACCCACACACAACACACCCACTCCCACACCTCACACACCCACCAACACACCCCCCACCAACACACCCCCCACCAACACACCCCTACACCCAGGACACAGCCCACATCCACACCATGCACACCCACACCCACACCCACACCCACACCCTACACCTCACACCCACACCCACATTACAAAGAGTTGAGAAAATATATTACAAAAAGATTTGGAAAACACTTGATTTTATTTCTGACTAAACGAGTCTGATGAATGCAAAAGACATTTAATCAAAATGACAAAACTTTCAAGAGTCTATCTATATAATTTTTCAATATGATATTTTTTTTAATTTAAAGTTTCCACTATTTTATAGAAATAATAGTTCAAATAATATTAATCTCCTGATTGTGATTTTTAAATGAAACAACACAAAATATTAATGCATGTGTTGTAAAGACATTTGAGAATTTGTTCTAATTAGGTTTTTTTTATTTGAAATACACTTACTAGTTGTCCAAGGAAAATCATCTGGTCTCCAAAGACGCAATGCTTGTAACTGAGGCATATAATTACTAAGAACAAGTACAAGAAATTTTCCAATACCAATCGATTGGTTTGAGCCAAAATGACAACTAGTAAGACAAAATTCCGCGTATCTAACATTCTTTAATGCGTTTTTCAATAGTTCATCAGATGTCTAAATATAAAATGAAAAAACAGTTAAATAAACCATTTGGAATTGTAGGAACTGAGTTATCAAGAAAAAAATGTCAAATTTCGAACGACTAAAATAAGTTAATGTATACAACGAACTTTTCTGTTTCAATATCTTTTTCTTTGTTTGCAACTTTGAAATATTTCTTTCCTTTATATCTTTTTATTTTCATCTTCTATAGATATATGTAAAACGAATTGAACACTCTTATGCGGGGGACCATGAAAGCGGGGGTGTGTGGAGGGATGTGCATCCCACAGTAGACAGTAGGCAAAGAGCAAGAACGACAAGAGTGTTTAATATTTTTGATAAAACTTTTTTGAGCAACGGATTTTTAATAACAAATAAATATGCATTTTGTAACCTACTTAATGGGCTATCATATGAGATATGACTCAACTTTTTTTTTTACAGATAATGCGACTGAAAAATTTAGAGCTCAAGAAAAAAACTTTTGTCGCTTGGCTGTCCACTGTGCACCCCCAATTATTGAAAATTTTCAACTTTTGTCAACGAAATCAAAAGATTTTTCTGCACGTTTTGCTCATTTTTTGCGAAATTTTGTTGCAAATAGCCTTTTGCATCCCCAAAATTTGTTACACCTCCCTCCCCCAAATCTTAGATCGTTCTCGCGGTCCCTGCTCTTATGATTACTATTGCCTATATTAGACTCTTATTACAAGAAAATACTTCGTTTTTTGTTTGCTGTAATCTCTTGGTTTCACAAAAGCCATTTTTTAAAGTATCTTTTGTGATTTTACTCAAATGAAGTTCTTTTTTAAAGTTATTTATGGTATCCTTTTAATATATTTTCTTTAGGATTAATATAACTATAAATGAAATCTATTTCGATTAAATATTCATGGTTACTCGAATACAAACTCACTTTTTTGTTTCCTAAACAAATTAGTTTGATCATTATATTCGATGCGAATAGCTTCTAATTGAATAATTTAGGAAAGAGAATAGGTATGAAAAGCATAACTGTAATTCAGAGTTCAAAATTAGACTAAGAAAAAAATGTGTTCTTACGTATGCAATAACATGCAGAAGCCATTGAAATTGTTGGATTCGAAGATAATTAAGCTGAAGAGGCATTGAAAGAAGATGAGCAAGCAATCTTGCACGTTTTTTATTTTGATCCGTACGTCCGTCATAAGATCCTATAAATATATTTTAATTAGATATATTTTATGAAAAGAATTTTTTTCTGATAAAGAAATAATCCTATTTCACTCAATAATCTATAATAACAAATGCAAAATTTCTAACATTTACTCTTTTGAATGATTGATTTGAAGAGAATGTATTGAAACAAGGTAAAAGATTAGAAATTTCAAGATTATTTAATTGATAGCTAGTTGTACTAATATTCCAAAGTAGAAGTTAGTTCTATCTTTATTAATGACACCTATTTTGGCATCATGATGAAAGTGCTTAATATTCTCAATAAAGAAAGATCCTTAGATGAAAGAGCATAACTACACATATGCTTGTGACTTGCTCTGTTCCATTTATAATCAATTTCAAAAAACTCCATTCATGAATTTAATTGAGCAGATTTTTATTTTCAATGTATTTGTTCAATTTTCCTAGTCATACGCAAAATAAACTATGTTGCAGATTGTTTGAAACGACTGGTAGATAATTGATAAAACATAAGAAATTATTATGAATTCCACTATGATTACCTTAATAACAATAGTCCTATATAAAACGTCAATACTAAATAATTATAAACGGTATTATGGTTATGAATACAGATAAATCTTATAGTTTGAGAAAATTTTTGGAAGATATTTTTCTACATAAGAAAATGAGGCATAAAGTATATCCAACAAATATTCATAACTGTTTGCAGAATGAAACAGTTGAAATCTATGAAATTTATGGAATTATATAGCTGTTAAAATAGCAGATAAACGTTATCCCATTCTTATTGAATCTTAAAAACAGAAAAACACAATTTACCACAATCACGGTAACAGCACGATCCAAATTCAAATCTTGTGACATGTCGCAAGGAAATATTGATCAGTTTATGTTGTCTTGTTTCGAATGCTGTTGGCATTAACATCATATAATCTAGTTCGTCGATTATTGTATCGCATCCTAAAGAACGATAAACGCTATAAACATTAATATTTTTGTTTTTTGCAGAATTACATCATGAAAATAAAAGAATTTCTTTTCTATGTAGATATTTCAGCGAACTGAACTTTCTATAAATAACAGCCGAAGCTTGTCCACATCTTTCACATGCAAGTTTTCCGTCTGTAAAAGAACAATTTCTACACTCATGACGTCCATTCCGATCGTCGGAATGGACATCTTTAACAACGTATTACTGCATTAATTTTCACCATAAACGATCGTATACAACGAAGTTACGGTGAGAAATATGGACAGCCGTAACCATCCTCCCAGATTATTAAACGTTTTGTATTTGTCTCTTTTCAAAGTGTAAAAGGTTTATTCAAGTTCTTAAGTGAACAAAATACTTACTCATCTGAAATTTAATACAAGAAACATTAGGAAATAATTTGTCGAATTGTTCAAAAAATAGATAAAGAGATGGCTGAAGGCCTACTTCAACATATTTCACATCTGGCCAATTGAATATATCTGGATAATTGCTAGAAGAAGGATAAGAGTACAATTATATTAATAAACTATAAATATCTCACTTTAAATTAGGAAAGAATGAAGATATATTAATAAGAGAAGAAGAAAGATGATGATACATTTTTGAATCAAAGAAACATTTCACATTTGTCCACTGACGTTGAATAAAAAAAGGATGAATTTTAAATGAGTTAATTATTCTTTGAGTATTATTCAACGATAATTGACATGTCGAAATAATATAAAAATCGAAATGAGTTAAATTGGTTATAACATCACTTATTAAATATTTACGAACGAAATTTGCATCAACAAGTGATTCATTGATCACTGGATCTTTTTTCCCAGTTCCATTAATTTTAAGACGAAGTTTTACTTTTCGAACATGACTTAGATTATCCAAAATCCATTTCAAATAATATAATTGAAAATCATAATTAATCATACACTTCACAATAAGATATTTTAATTTTTTTACCTATAATTAATAAAACAAAACAAAAATTCAACTTTCATTGATAATCAAAACAAATCAAAAATTTTAACATTCTTTTTTTCTATTCAATTGTTAGATGATGATAAAAATACAGTGTCCCATAACTTTTGTCTCTCCCTCTACAACCTACAGTATCAATGATATCACAAATGTATTTTATACCAAATTAAAG